CATTGCTAATTATTCGGTTAGAGGCCATCGCTAGTAGGTTGGAGGCCGTTGCTAGTAGGTTGGAGGCCGTCGCTCTTAGGTTGGAGGCCGTTGCAATTAGGTTGGAGTGCTCATGGATCCCCCAGGCAGGTCCCCACTCGTCGCTCCTACAAAGCCGCACAAAGCCACAGCACCCACAAAGGCTCCGACCTGGTGCGTCGCGCGAAATGGAAGCCAAGGCGGCTTGGTGAAGGATCCCAGCATGTTCAGCTATGGATGTAGACCGCATTTCTTTCAAATGGAAGGAAAGGGAGAAAAAGAAAAAAGACAAACGATAGGTCTAAAGTTAGTCTAAAGGTCTAAAGAAACAACAAAGAACAGGACGAGAGAAATAAACATATCCACTTTGTTTTCTGTTAGCAAACCATGCATTCTGGGTCCACGTACAGACCCTACAGACTACTCGAGTTGGTGGCGGATTGTCTGAAAGCCCGAAAATTATTGGACAACAACAAAGACCTGATTTCTCACCAACCAATCTGTCATCACCCTCAAGCTTATACCCAGGCTACGACGAATCAGTCTTCTCTCAAGAACTTTCGACTGGCTTTGCTTTGCCATAGTAAAAAGAAGCTACTAGTAACAAGTGCATCGCTACTAGTAACAAGTGCCGATCAAAGCGACATCAAGCCCTTGGCCATAGTTGATCCTCACCATTCCTCAAGACGTTGCTTTGATTTGTTCATGTGGTGAAGGGTTACGGGTTACGGCACCACCGACAGTTCATGAGGATCAACGGCTTCGGATACATCCTGTTCAGGTTTGCATCCGCAAAGAGTTATAAGTCTTCAACATGCAAATCAACTTTTTCCGCGGAGCTTCTGTACAGAGAATCCTACTTTCGACAGATCAATGCCAAGCATATGGAAAATCTCCCTTCCCACTCTGCAACCAAGGGACACAAAAAACAATGAAAAGCCTATGCATCTCGCTATGCAAACAGCTGGACAGAATCTTGAAGAAGTACATTCATGGGTCTCCCCATTTCGCTGTCTCAGAGAACTCTTTCGTGACCAAGTCACCCTGAACCAACTCCTCCAACATCTTACCACTAAAGCCTTTCTCCAGCATCGCATCCCGCAGTCTTGTCGAGAGCATGGACGCAAAGGCCGGGTCCAGTGCCGCCAGTAGCCGCGAGGGCAGAGTGAAGGACTCAGAAGCCTTCTGCAGCTGATAGATCTCTTGAAAGCTCCTGCAAAGACACAGGCCAGCGGCGGCCAACAAAATGAAACAACATGAAACACATGGATTTGTAATGAAACGTTGGGTGCCGTCCCCTCATGGTTGACAACCGCAGATTGATAAGGTTTACAAGTAGTGGGAAACCACACTGCCACAAGGGGCTTCACAAAGTATTTGAACCAAACAGGAAATTGCTCTGAGAAATCAGTTGGATTAAACTAAAGCAAGCATGCGACAGGTTGATAAACCTGAAATGAAGCCTTGATACGGTGGACAGTTCACACAGGCTCCATACTATCTTTCTTCATGAAACAGTTGCCCGAAGCAGACGGACATGTTTATTGCACAGCTTCTTGTGTAGATCATGACCCTTGTGACCCTCCGGTCACGCCTCGACCTGCGAGACTGTCTATTTCGACATAATTCTGACATCTTGCGACATATTTGTCGGGACTTGTCGCCTTGGCAAACCTCGAGGAGTACAAACTATGTTTGATGTCAATCAGCCTGCGCCAAAATGGCGTCAGCGCTCCAAACTTATTGGAACAAAGTTTGATGGGAGACCCAGCACTGGGTATTGTTCTCATTTCCTCTATGCACAGCAGTTCTCCACTCTTGTCCTGAGAAAGCCTTCCACCCAATGGTTCAATCGCAGTGGGCCAAGACCATATCCTGAGCAAGGATTGCGCGTCTTTCGAGCAGGTGGTTGTGGTTTGTCAGTTGAACTGGAACGTTTGAGGGACTGCATCTAAAACCACAGGAGGCTGCTTCAATGGGTCAAAGAGCTAGTTCTGGACCACTCACAAGACTCTTCTATCGCCGTAATTATGGTCAAAGGGTAAATGACCTGGGGCTCCAAGGTATACCCGTCTCTCTTGTACTTCATGAGTGAGTGTCATTACTTTCAGTAATCCACTCAAACCAATCCGCCGTTTATATAAAGATATCATCTGCTAAGCTGAATTCATCTCACAAAGCAACAAGTTTTGCCTTTCAATTTTGGGGGTGGTCAAAGTGGTCAGTGCCGCTGAGTCCAAAAACTGTACCTTTGGACCGTCATGGAAAGACACATAATCGAAAAAAAGGGAAGCAACAGGTAATAATGTCTAAAGAAAATCAAGAAAGCATTCTACCCAATTTGCCACCTTTGGACCGTCGAGACTCTCCAAAGCAATTGGGCCAGCGCCAAAGGCTTGTGACTGCTTCCCTCGAACACAGCTTTCTTTCCATCATGCAGTGTGAGACGAGTCCTCAGGTGGCTACACCAGCAAGAATGGCTATGCGGCTATGCGAATGATAGGAACATAAAAAGCAATCACTTACTTTGGGGGCAAATTTCCAACAGGGAGGACTGCCGGCAACAAGGCGGCAAAAACAAAAGGGCTCTTGGATTCTACCGGTCAGAGTCAAAGCTGGCTTGAGCTTGTCCAGTTGAAACTCAGTTGCGAAATCTGACATGTACCTCAAGTAATGGCTTTCTGGAGTCTTGAGAGAGAACAAGAATGACTGTGCTTCAACATTTGCGGCTATAGGTGAAGGAGAAACAAACAACGCGACCTGCATACCTCCTATAATGCGGCGCTTTGCGTGGCAGCTCCTACAAGCAATGCATAAAGCGCAGTAAGAAAACAGCAAAATGTGATTAGGCTAGGTTCCTCAGTTTGATTTGGACATCTTACTTAGTGGTTCCATTTCGGGGCCACCCTCTCTCTCCCTCCAAAGCGAATGCATAGGCTCAAACCAAGAACATGCGTCATTGAGGAACCTAGCTCAAAGCATGTGCGAAAGGCTGATTTTTGTCATGGATGATTGAAGCACCAGCTTCGTAGGACTCTCCTGCGTCGTTGAAGAGACGTGCTCGGCCTCCCAACTGATCACTCCTCTCGAAAACATGGATGTCCTTGCAAGGCCGGAATCCGATGGAATCAGCAGAAAAACCCTTCCACCTGTGTTCTGTGAAAAAAGAGGTAATCTCTATTGAATCTAATTGAGTCGGCAAGAACTTCATGCCAGGTAAAAGCCAAAAAATAGGTTGGTCAATGAATGTCCAGAAGTCGATGCTTTGTCCAGCCACCGATACTTAGTGGTCCCTTAGTAGACAGAAATGAATTGCAACAGGTTTAGGACGGGCTTTTCTCCATCCCTTTGAGTTTGATCGAACACTTGCTCGCTTTACTCCGCCATGCTAGCCAATTTAGTCCATGCCCAGCTTTACCAGTGGTGTATTGGGCATATCATTTTGCGACACTAAAATTGAAAACACTCCAAGTTTCTGCCTCTGGAAATTCCTCCCGACAAAAGCGTGCCGTGCTACAGCCACCGATTCCAGCACCAACAATGGCAATCTTCATGGCGCTTGTCGCATTTTTTCGGCGTTCGGTCACTTGCAAGCTCCATGTCAGCGGCTGTTCCAGTGGTCTTTAGAATCATTGCATATTTGTGATTTGACTCTAGAGGTGCAGGATGGCGCCTTTGCAAAAAGCATGACCTTCTCAGCGTAACTATACTAAGTGATTCCTTTAAGAGGACGGTTTCAAGGCTAACATGCCGAAGATCCCGCCAAAGGTCAATTGCAGCGGCACATCAACACAACTTGCTGAGGGTGGATGCTCTATCTTAGAATTCATCAATCATTCGCGTCAGCTATGCAAAGCTGTGTATGCAGTGTTGCAAGGTACCTAGCTTTGCTCGCTTCCATGCAGGAGAGCAGCTAAACTCAACTCCCTGCCGACAATGCTGAAACCTCTCGCTCTAGAAGGGCATATCACAGTACACTCGGTACACTCGATTTCCCATCATTCTTCACGACTGGGGCCAGCCAAAGGTGTGTGTCCCATTGCATGCCTTCAGGCCCAAGCACCAACTGAGAAAGACAAATTCTAACTTGAGCCTCTTCAATTGCCCATACTAAAAGGATCTAAAAGGCTACGTCCATTAAGGCGACGAAAGCTTGCCCTCTCCACCGGGGCTCCCAGCGGCAAATGCTCCGAGATCTCGTGGAGGCCTAGGACGCACCGGTGATGGGTCCAGTCAAAGGAAAGGTTTCACCAGAAATCATTTATGAAATCTTATTGCTGCACTTCTTTCTTTGGTGTTTCTTTGGTGGATCGTGGAAAGCTAGTCTTCCGTCACCCTCTGAAGTTTCTCGTGTCTCAAATAAGTCTTCTGCTGCCCCTGTTTCCACTGATGCTGAGGGCTCCACATCAACAACGCTGGCAAGAACAACATAAATAAACAACTAGTGGCAAACAAAATTGCAAAATCCATAGGGGTTCAGGGCTGAACTGCTGTGTTTGGCCACAGGGAATTCAACCGGCATGGCCTTGCGTACCAAAAGAACATGCAGGATTGCGGGTGTTGCATTACTTTTGCTCGCTACGCGTCCATCTTGCAAATTGTGAAAACACACTGCAAGTGAACACACAAGTGTACTATCTAGTAAGCAACAAGACTCCACCGGAGTGTTTGTAATATCCTTCGATCAGGTAGATGCGACGCCCCTCTGTTGGTTGACACAAGAGAGCTGACCATGCTGGCTTTCAACCGTAGCGAACACTTTCTGATTCAAAGATCTTTCAGCCACCATCGTCTTTCAGAATATCATGAAACCTCTCCACTGCCGGAGACATATTCCATATGAGATTGCAGGTTTCCATGGATGTTCTGTACTTTGGCTCGTGCAACTGCAATTAGATGCCCACCTCCATCGGCCGTTTCTCAACGAAAAAGAGACACAGAATGGCACCGGCCGCGTAGGCGGCCAGGCTTCCAATAGATCCAAATGCATGACGCTTCCAATGGATCCTTGCAAATAAAACAAACATAAAACACTTTAATTTAACCTTTTGTTCTAATTTGTTTCCCTGTTTGTTTTATGGACCTATCCTCCAATTAATGTACTTTGGCGTGGCTGTGGTCTGGCTTCCTCATGCTCGAGGAGCTTCCGGTTAGGTCAGGGCTTTGACGCTGGATCCACTGGCTTAAAGTCTCTTGCCCCACATGGCATGACCCCCGGCAAACTCTTCAACTGAGCAAGGCAGCATTTCGTTATTAGGCTTTGAATGCTAGTCTCAAAGCCCATGTGTTCTCATGCCTCGTGCCAGTGCCGATATTGTGATCTGCATAGTTTGACGCAACATGGACAAAGTGGAATCTTGGCACTTCTTCTACTTCCATTGGGTCATCTTCACAGAGTCTTTGTCTGCAATTCCCCCGCTGGCAAGCCAGCGAAACGATGATCATGGTATGCTGATCACGCCGATCTGAACAAGCTCAGTTGACGAGCCCTTCAGCTGCCAATCTCAGAAGGATACGATGAAAGGGCACAAAGCCCTCCTGAAGACATGTTGATGTAGAGATTTGGTACAAGGTGTACATGTCGTCCGGAGACCGTACACCTCTTTCAACATGTCGAAATCGTGAATCGACCAACTTGAGAATCTCTACAGAAACGTTTGAGGGGCGTCGAGGTCCGGTTCCTTTGCGTCCATAGCAACCTTTAAACGGGGCCCTGGTGCCCCGAAGATGTGTGTCACCGTGTAAATTAACATAAAGTAACCAACATGCAAAGCGCAGGCCCTTCATGAAACCTACAGGAAGAAGTGAACACAGGCCCTTCATGTCACAAAACTCTTTCACTTTGAACCCAACTTGTCCTCAAAGCAGCTTAGTCAGCAACTCCTTCCAATGCTCCCTGGCCTTGTGTTCACGCTCCTTCTGCACCAAATCTGCGCAGATTGAGCGGGTAATTCCGCAGACACCAAAGAAGAACAACGTGAAAAGGGGGAAGAGCATGTTCGTGGAACCATACGGAAGCTAGTGACCCCATGGAACCCACAAAAAATCATAAATATGAACACATTGACAACAAGAATGACTCCAAGTTTCTGGAGACACCTGATCGGCCCCCTTGAAACCACTGGGGAAAAGAAGCATCTAAAGGCCTGAGAAAAAAGAAACATAAGAAACACACTGCAAACATCTGCAAACCAAGTATAGCTCGAACATGCTCGAACCAAAGGTCAGCCACTACCAGCCTGTACATTGTTGCAGAAGCACCTGGGCACAAAGCCATGGTTCGTCAACAAGGAGCGCCAAAGGCATACCGGAGAATGAGGGCAGTGTTGCGTGGATGGCCAGAATTTGGGAAAGAACAAAAGCTCGACGATCTACTTTTGATACTTTCGATTCAGAACCCAACCACTGATGACCTACTTGTAGTGGATTCGTCCACTACATTGAGAAACGAAACTGCAGCGAATCATCCTGAACTGGTGAAGCGGGTCAAGTTCATCGATCAGATCTCCCTTTCGGACTTTCTTTTGGCACTGGAGATACAGCTTGGACACTTGAGGCAGATCTCTAAGGGACATTCTTGCCTTGGGGCAAATCGCTCAGCAGGAATGGGCCCGGAATTGCAATCCTGAAAATCTGCTCCAAGGTGTCCCGCATAGAGCACAACATGAGCTGTTTCCAGAAACCCTTCGTTATGTTAGCTGACCTATTTAATCATTAGCGTTTCACCAAGAGTTGTGACATTTGTGTTGCAAACATCTATATCAAAGTCCGTCTGCAATTCTGCTGGATCCATCCACCACGCTCCCCGCTCTATGCTCTGCTCGGAGGCACATCCGCAAAGTCCTGGCTCGATGCCCATTCGGGCCAGTCCAGCTGACTGCATGGCTCCTGGCACTAGGTGGCCCTTCACACCGGTGCACACCGGACTCAAGTGGCTCAGTTCTTCCCTGTGGAAGTCTTCGTCAGAATCTGGACAAAAATGCAGGAGAAATCCTTGAAACGTACTTCATGCAAACAGCCTGTGTGCGTACAACGTCAGCATTTTTTGCTAGTTCTAAGAGCATCTCGCACCACTCACGTTGGCCCTTGTTTTTAGAATTTTGGGGCCTGAGGTAAAGGACTCAAGAAGTATCCCATGGAAGGCCCTGCTTAGAATCTCAGGCAGGTCCCTCGGTCCCTCTGGAAGGTCCATCTGTAGATCCTGCAAACAAACTATGAACACCACCTAACTATACCTCACGTGAGGTTCTCATCTGGTCTTCTTGCTCTCGAGTTTTCAGTGGGCGCTTGTGATCACGAAGCCTAAAACCCCTAAACGTTCCTTCAATATCCTTCAATCACCAACCCACGCTTGGATGCCTGTCCTTGAGAGCTTCAGTGAATAAGCGCGGATGGCGTGCAATTAAGCGTTGCAGTGGTGGCAAGAATCGGGGGTAAGGCCTGCGCTGCGATGCCGCTATGACTATGACCCGCTGTGGACAATTGCGGGGAGGAGATACGCGAGCTTGTTTGGGGGAACTCCGATGGCATCAAAAGCAAAGCCAGATGCAGCCCATCAACGCCCCTCGCAATTGGACAACCATTGGAAATGAGTAGGCACCTCTTGCTCAGAAACCTATGCATTCTCTCACAAACACAATGGCATTTTGCAGGGAACACATCATCTTTTAATCTTTGGGTTTTCGGCGATTTGTGCTTTTTCCTGCAGCAGAGTTTCGTCTAGACTCTAGGTTGGAAGCCGTCGCTCTTAGGTTGAAGGCCATCGCTATTAGGTATTTTTGTTGTTTCTGAATTTGCTCTAGGAGAGTCAACTCGCATGCGCCCTCCCTGCCGGCATTCCCTGTGGTCGTGTTGTCGCGCCTGTCATCTCGGCGCCGTTGACTGGAACCAAGCCTCAGCGACACTCTCAAGGAAAGCAAGAAAAAAGAGACAAACATATAGAATATAATTACATATACATAGAACATATTGCTTAAATTGCAACAACACAAACAAGGAAGGTGTTTGGGTCCCTATAACAGGGTTTTCTTTATGGGCCTTATTAAAGCGGACCAAACAATCGTGCTCCCTGGAACAATGGCATATTGGAAAGGGATAGGGTGGCTTTTCTGGTTCAGATATGTTGGCCGGTATGGGACCACTGCTGAAACGCTGAGTCAATACAGCCCTACACATGACCTCAACGGGCGCAATGTGGGTAAAAGGCCACGAGAACATCTGCAACCAACGAGGTTGCACGTATGTATGCAAACAACCATTAATATGCACAAAAGAGACAGGTGGAACACCCAAGTGATAGCAAAGCCACCTCCCAATTCGGGCCAAGAAGCTCCTCTCTCCTCCGTTGGCTTGAACCAAGCCTCCCAAACGACGTCGAGTCCATTGAAAGAAGAAAATCGGAAAGGCGACCAACTTTGGACACTTTGAGCCACATGTTCATGAACGATCTGTGGAAGACCGAAGCCTGAACGATGAGAATTCCCCAAACTTTTGCGGACCATGTGGGAGCAGTGCCCATGAGAACTGCTTTGCCCTGTTAAAGGCTCCATGACAATGGGTGCGACAGTTTGAGGATGTAGCTTCTTGTTGGTGAAAAGGGCTCCCAAACATGGGACTAGTGCCATTGGCCCAAAAAAGCAGGCCTAGCGGCCTAGTTTAAGAGCGTCCGGCGGCAGCTCTGTAACCTTGACCCCTAAATGGATGCTTTCTGGAGCATCGTGGCATGGACATGCAGTTCCGCTGCTGGTCTTGGTTCTAGCGCAAACCGGCAAAGACCATCAAAGACCTGCCCCTTCAAGAAGGAACGGGCCCAACTGCCACGCGCTCACTGCGCGCTCCACAACACTGTCCATCCTTGGGGCGTTCCCGAAGCTGGCATTGTTCCAACCCGAAAACCAATGAGACGATAGCCACATGTCACATGTCTATTGCCGAAACGGAGACTTCTCGCACAAGCATCACCATTGGCAGATGTTCATGAAGGTTCCGGCCAACAGCGAAGGCTTCTCCTTCTTTTTTCCTTGTTGGCAAGGTTTTGCAAGTATAAGAACGGTCTGAAGCTTCAATGGCTGCCACGATTTCTGACAGGAAAACGACGGTATTCGGTGGTTCCATTCCCAAACTGTCTGCTGATCTGTTCAAGACAAGGTCCTCTGGGACTTCCAAGTTGAGAACAGCAGCGAGAATTCTGGAATGTACCATGATGTA